GTTCAGCCTGGAGGCAGGCATTGCATCACAGCCTCTCCTATTTTGAAGAGACCCTTGTCCAGCAGGCTGAGGCAAAGACGCAGTCACGAAAGCAGCAAAATCAGGGAGCCGGACAGGGGACAGATTGGATTTGTCTTCAGTGTGGAAGGGATTGTCGCTCTCGAATCGGCCTCCTCAGCCACACTAGATGCTGTTCCAAGTCCTCCATACAGAGCACGATACCATAGTCTTTCGAGACTGAAGGATGCCTAACTAACTAACCTTGTGTGTTTACATAAAGTGGAAGTTAAGGTACAAGAAAGGTACATCAGTCTGTGCATAGTTTTAAGTGAGAGAGGGTAATCTGAGAGTTAAATTTCTTTACATTTGGGTACATAACTTCAATCATACTTTTTTCCAGGTGCTGTCTCTAAAATGAATTATAGTACAAGGTGGGGAGCTAGCCAATCATTAATCTATATTATTTTTCCTTCTTTGCTTGGAATGTTACATAAAGGGGAAGTAGTGAGTACTTTGATGAGTAAGAGCAATCTGTGGGGGAACTACTAGCAAACTTCCTGTGTGAAGTTAACACCTGGTCTTAGCATCTATTCAGTCCTGAGTGACCAATGGAGAGAGTTCAGAAACCAGTCTAGAACCAATTGCGTAACATATAAGGCATTGAATAAACAACAAAATGATCATGCTTTTCTCTGCTTTATTTTGGTTCACAGAGTTATTTGTTAATGCCATTTTATCTAAACCTGTTTTTTGATTAATGCCAACTTGTGTGTAGCTTGTGACATAACAAGTTAATTTCAAGCCTGATATTGGCTTGCATCCTGAATTATCTGAGCAGGGACAGTATGAGTGGTTGTGCTGTTCCATAAACTACAGTTTATTGCTCTCTTGCAGTACCTTTTTGCAAGAGAAGTAATGCAAGGTTCATTGCAAAAGCCTGCCCATTGTTCCAAATCCTCCTTCAGTCTAAAAACTGGTGATACATAGATTGCAAGGGTGACAGAAGACAAAACAGGTCATGACTACACGCTACAGGCAGGTTGGGGGAGAAGTTTGCAAAACAGTTTATGCAATATGGTCTACTACAACCTCGTACACTAATGGAATTTCCGCTGAAGATCTGAACATTTTCTTTTTTCATCAAATTCTTTGTGCAGTGAATTAAAAACAAAAAGGCTTTCCACTAGCATAAGAAGCTTCTCAGCATTGAAGAAGCAACACTGAATGCAATCTGTTGATTTGAATATTGTCAGTCAGTCACAATATGCACTAACTCTTTAATTTATTGTTTGGTACTCCAGTTCCGTAATGAGCTAAGATCTGTCAACACACCAGCTCTTTTTTCATTAGTCACTGTCTTTTGTTCCTCTGAAATTGACTGATTTTTGTGTCTCAGAGAGCAGAAGAATATAATATTGCCAGGTAGATTGCAGAGTTGTTTGTGCCAGCATTGTAGAGGATCAGAGTTGTAATAGTTTACATATTCCATTTTAAAAAATGTTATGAAATGTCTGTTGTGAGGAGGAAGTGTTGCTAAAGGGAAAGAAAACAGCAAAACAGAAGGGGCTGGAAACAATATATCAGTGTAATGTATTCTACAGCCAATGGGACAAAAGGTAGTTCATCAGTCAACATATTCTGGCAGTGTTGTAAACAATCATCCAAACAGATTATAAATAGCAGCAAAACCTTGGGGTTTGAATTACAGCCTCCTGGTATTGCAGTCTTTTATGGTATTGGCTTTCATCTAGAACAGCTGGAAAATAATTACTGCCTTTTTAAAAAACAGAAAATCAAATAAATTTGAAAAGCATTGATTTTTCATATACTAAGTCTTAGCTTTATTAACTTTCAGTTCTGCAGTACTACACAAAGTTATCTCCACTTCACACAGTCAAGAATTTTTGCTTGATATTAAGGAAATGACTAGTTGCCAGGAGGAAAAAATAATAATCACAAGCAAAGGGATAGGAAGTCTCCTTGGTATTAATAATTTTATTTCAGTTTCAGTGTAAACAGCTTGAATGTGGGTCTTGTGGGATAAAGCTCTCATCCATCAAGGAAGACTTCCTCATTTCCTCTCTATATAATAGTTGATTTCAGTATTACTTTCCTTCCTTCCTTCCTTCCTTCCTTCCTCCTCAATCTTTTTGTACCCTACAGAAGACCAGGAGAATGAGAAGTGAGATCCTTGCTTTCAGATAGGTACCTGTTGTGTAGCTCTGTATTGACCAGAATGATGCAGTTCCCTATTTGCAATGTCATTCTGACTAGTTGGGTGGCCAGGTTTTGTAACCTAGAGCAGTGGCCCCCAACCATGGGCTCTGGAGTTCTTGGACTCCAGCTCCTAGAAATCCTGGCCAGCACAGGTGGTGGTGAAGGCTTCTGGGAGTTGTAGTCCAAGAACGTCTGGAGGCCCAAGGTTGGGGACCACTGACCTAGAGGTATGCTATTTATAGCTGAACTTCAATCAGTTGAAGTTGAGACTTAGCCAAGTTTCATGTACTGATATGTAAAACAGAATGCAGTCTCATCATCACTCTCACTTAACTCAGTGACAAAAGCTCCAGTGAGGGCAGCCAGCCTTCTTTTCTCGGTTGAAGAGGGCTACAGTCCACAAGAGCTTGGGAGAAGTAACTCCTCTTAGCCTTCATGGTTCCACAAAACTCTTGGTTGGTTTTGCACAGCATATTTCTTCACACAATTCTGTTCCCACACACTCTTGGATGATTCTGTAGATCTAGAGCAGGTAGAAGGCAGATCTGGATATACAGGAAAGATCTCTATGTGGACGGCAAGCATTCTCCACTCCCAATGTTTTCACCTCCCCAAAATCCACATTATATGAAGACATTTTGGAGTGACCTGAAGAAAATTTTGTGTGTGTGGAAAGGATGTATATGCCTTCCAGTTCTGATATGCAAAATAAAATGGTAATTTCATTTCCATTTTGATGAAATGGAACTGGTTCGACATCATTTGATTCTATTTGTATTGCTGTTATTTAATTTTTATTAATTTTATGTGCATTATTCCTTAGCTAGTCTTTGACACTGAGTGTAGGCTGGTAGATCTCAGGCTTCTAGTGAAAAAGCAGCTAAGGTCCCAGAATCCTGAAAATGGCTGCCCTGGATATCAACTGGAGATTGGGGGCGGGGGGGAGAGACTTTGTTAATACCTGCATGAGTTGTCCTAATTATTATATATTTTCCATTTTGGATAAATTGGTACTTTTGGTAATGATGCAGTCTTTTAACCCTTTATTTTGGTGATGCATATGGATGCAAACTTGCTATAAACACCTGGATTGTTTAACATTCTTGCTTCTTTCCTTTGAACCCTTGTTGTGTTTCTTCAGTGTGTTAAACTCCATACTTTGCTTCCATGCATTAATGATGTAGATGGGCTAAAAAAACAAAACAGAGAGCAGGAGCCTAAGTTAGATTAATTTTCCACTTTTTTTGTTTCAGGACATTTGCTTTCTATGGAACAGTTGTCACTAAGCAACAAAGGAACTTGCCACGCTTATGTGTGCCTGGGTATCATGATGTGCGTGTTTATGATTCTGTGTTTGTTCCTTCTTCCAGTGGCCTCTCTTTGCTGATTCTCAAACAGCATGGCATTAGATCCCTACAGTTTCAGTCCCTGAAGCATATCAGTGCTGGCAACGTCTACATCACAGACAACAGTAACTTGTGCTACTACCACACCATCAACTGGACCAGCCTCTTCAGCACTCCCAACCAAAAGACTGTGATCCACAGAAATAAGAAGGCAGAAAACTGTAGTAAGTAGGAATGATTATACTCACTTGGTGCATCGACCAAGAGAGCATCAGCAGGTGCTGGTGCCGTGTTTAGTAGCGTATGAACATTTGCCTACTTGTGCTGAAATAAACAAGGCACATTTTGTTTTTATAATGGAATGAAAACAATTTTTGTACAAATCATTTTAATATTTTTAGATTTTTTTTGAAAAAAGGGAAATTGATGTCTACTGCTATGGAAAAGACAAATTTAGGCATAATAATCACTTACATATTCATACATATGAATGTTGGCTGTAATTATACGAGCACACAGTACTATCATATAAACTGTGCCAAACATTTAAAATGACCATTTTGGCACATTCATCGAGGTGAGAGGTGGGAAGAGCTTAGTGGGGGAATTCAGCAGGCTGAAGAGATGACACTTCTTCCAGGGGGAGGGGGTAGGAGCAAGAAATGTCTTGAGAGTTCCTGCAAGATTTTTCCGGGATGGGGGTGGGGAGGGAATCTTGTATGAAAAAATCTCACTGTGTGGAGAAAAGAAGTATTTTTCTTTTGATATCTCTCTAAGAGTGAGAGGCTGCGAGAGTCATATCCCTGTGTACACCGTAGATTAGAGAAGAGTTTCAGACAGATACAGGTAACGTCAGTTCAGTCATTAGCAAATTATGTGTGATTACCACAGGTATATGTTGGCTAGACAGCTCAGTGGCTTAGGTTTCTGGCTGTGGGGCCAGGAGTTGGGAGTTTGATTCCCCACTATGCCTCCCCAGAGAAAAGCCAGCCTGTATGGCCTTGGGAAGCTGTACAGTCCCATGGTGCTCTCAGAAAACCCTGGGATGGGTCACCGTAAGTCAGAATAGACTTGACAACACTTCTTCTTCTTCTTCTTCTTCTTCTTCTTCTTCTTCTTCTTCTTCTTCTTCTTCTTCTTCTTCTTCTTCTTCTTCTTCTTCTTCTTCTTCTTCTTCTTCTTCTTCTTCTTCTTCTTCTTCTCACCAGAGCACTCTAGCGTTGCCCCCCTCTGTATAGTTTTATTTCTGTTACACATACTATCCATAATACCTCTACATGTGAAGTAGAATCCTGAAAAGTGTTCCAAGGAGCCCCAGGGCACAGAGGTCATAGTGCAGTACTGAAGTCATGCCTTTGCTCACAACCTGAGTTCAATCCAGTTTGGGTAGCCAGCTCAAAGATGACTCAGCTTTCCATCCTTCTGAAGTCAGTAAAATAAGTACCCAACTCACTGGGATAGCAAGTTGTTCCTTGCAGAATTATGTTGTAAACTGCTCAGAGAGTGCTCTAGCATTATGGGGCAGTATCTAAGTCAAAACAACAAGCAGCTCATGTTGAGAAATCCCTCACAGGTAGCAGAGGCTGTCCCCTTCAGATTTGTTTTTCTCCAATTATCAAAGAGCAACAAGAATGGTAAAAATGGGCAAGGCTTCCCTCTACCTGTGGCAAACATACAGAATTGCCTAGTAATGGAGTGGGGCCGTGGATAAGAACTCTTTCCTGCAGTGTTTATTATGGGCTAAGCAGTAAGCCTAGCAGTTTAATGGGCCTGATGATCCTCCTGTTGTTTCATTGTTGCCCTATGACCTCTTGACACATCCATTTTTTCTGTAGTCTCTGAACTTTCTCTGGTCCTCTTTTTCTTATTAGCTAAGGTAGTTTTGCCTTAAATGATAAGCTGAGTTACTTGGGATCAGACAGAAGGAATACCCTGGGGCATTTCAAATATGAATTCCAGGGTCAGTGAACATCTTTTGGTACTTATTGCAGTTCCTCTATGGGTTTCTGAATAGTGCCTTGTTGGATGACATTTACTGAGCATTTTAAAGCCTTTCACTAAATATGGTGTTAACAGTTGTTTCTTATGAAAGAACCAAAAATGCTCCATTAGGATGGTTCTTTCAGATGTCATTGACTAGAAGCCTGTATTAAGAGCATCAAAGGGAAAATGTGGCATGATGAAGATTCATTTTTATGTTATTGTCAGTGATTTCAAAGAAGCATCTGCCGTTGAAGAGCTCGGGGGGGGAGGGGGCATGGAAATGCAAAAGAAGGATTGACACAGCCATTCCTCTGATGCAATTATGCTGATAATTGAATTGCATTTGCCTACAAAACTCTTCCAAACTATTAAGTTCTAACTGAAGCAACAAACATTTTAATTCTTAATATTAAAACCATCCAGGACTGGCATCATGGATGGACTGTGGAAGTATAGCTAGGCCTTAATTAAGTGAGCCTCATACTTCAGAACAGGCAGATTTTCAAGATGAAAAGCTCAGCCAATACATTTTATAATGGACTAAGTCCATTGCAGACAGAGTCACAGAGAAGATGTAAGGAAGGAGGGAGGGTTGCTCTCCAAACTCATACATAAACTTCTGTAATAACTGCTTTTGTAAAATGTTAAGTTGCTTCCAGGTTACAATAACCCTATGAATTAACCTCCATTAGATCCAGTTAATAATTGCCCTACTCAGCTCTTGCAAACCTAAGGCTGTGGTTTCCTTTATTGAGTCAGTCCTTCTTATGTTTACCTTTCTTTTTTCTTACTTTCTTTTACTTTTTCTTGCATTTTAAAATATTTTAATAACAATATGAAGGATACCAGCAAAACAATGAAACAGACACATAAAGTCTGTTACTGTTAATCATAACTGCATAGTGGGCTTGCCTACACTGAGATCCATTGGTGGAGTGTATTGCTATCCACTTTTGTCTTCTTGTGGTATGTCCAAAGTACATTAATCTCATTTTAGTCATTTTAGCTTTCAGTGAGAGTTAAGGTTTGATTTGCTCTGGAACCAATTAATTTGTCTTTGTTATAAGTTTTTGAGAATCACTTTGCTTGCAAGGAAAAGTAATGCAGCAGTTCTATAGGACTGCAAACTTTGGAACTGTCTTTGTTTTCGATTCCAATCTATGGAATAGTCTATAGACCACTGGTATATATTCCATATTTATTAGCCTACTCTTCTTAGAATTTTGACAGACATAATCTCTGTTGTTTAACATATATCAATTGGTATTCCATCTATTCCTGGTGGTTTATTTCTTCTAACTGCTTTAAGGGCATTTTTTCATTTTACTTTCTAAAACTGCAAGTTCATCGTAATAAGATCTCTCTTTTAAGGAATCTATCATTCTTGTATCTCTTCATATCATTCTTCAATATATCATTTTCTTGTCTTTGTTTTGTTCTGATCAGATAAGGCATTTCTCTATTATATTTCAGCATCCCTAATTTTGGTTTGAATTTCCCTTTGATTTCTTGCATCTCACAGAAAATATATCCCATTTTTCCTTTTGTTGTTGTTGAGTGTCCAGCAAAGACTGCTCTAGCCAGACTAGTGGGCTTCCCACCTCAGCAAGCAGAGTGTTGGCCTTCCTGACATGTAGTTCTCCTATAGATTGGGACAGTGACAATGTGATAGTGGAAGATACTCTTGAGGAAACAGACACAGCCATGGCTGTGTTGTTATTCAAGGAGGAGGACCTTTGGGTGGATGCCATAGAGTGGGAGGTGGTATTGGTTCATGATCCAGACACTAGCAATTGAATGGACTTTCTGGTGCCACCTGAGGAGGCTGCCCACATGCACCAAAGAGAAGGCATGTGAACAGAAAGCCCACTGGCTTGAGAACAGGTGCCAGAATCGCCCCTGTCACCAAAGAAATCTGGACTGCCTGCCACACTTGTAGCAGCCCTGTAAGCCCACCAAACCCTCAAGAGGGGCCATTCCCAGATCTGTACATCCAGTCTCTCCACCCTGCATACCAGATGGAGCTAGCTGGGTACATCTGTGGTTTGGCTGAGCTACGGTGGAGACTTACAGGGCCTGTGGGGCAGACCATATAGCCTCACCAGAGAAGGAGCTCATACCACTCTCCTGCAAGGGCAAGTGACCACTTCCATCTATCACTGATGTTGCAACATCCCTTGCCCGGCCCACCTGAGGGGAATGGTGGAGTTGGTTGAGAAGAAGGGTCTCCATTGTCCACCATGTTTACATTCCTAAGTGCGCCCCTGCCCTACAGATTGTAGCAAAAAGCTGAGAAGCAACGGAGCTAACTGTACGATAGAAAACACAGAGGGTACTCTGTAGTTAGAAGAGGCCCTGATTGTTTGAACTGTTGGCCCAAAGCCTAAAGGCAGTTTTTCAGCACAAAAGTCTTTTGAAAGCTTTGTGCCGGCTGAGGTAGAAAACTCTTGCCTAATTGCTGGATTTCACCAACAGTCTTTTCTGGAACTCTCTCTTGTCCGTAAATGGTCTACATGTGGCTCATTTGAGTTTAATGTTGTTATCCCGGCAGAGTAAGCAATGGATCAGAAAATGTTTGCACCTTTTCTCCACAGTGACTGAGAATAACAGCTTCATGTGAATAGGGAAGCACTGAATGGCACCTATGTGCTTTTAGGGCCTCAACAGCTCAGTTTTGGACTGCCGCAGCTTCTTCATAAACACCTTCAGTCAATTAAGTTTATAAATCTTTGAGGCCTAATTGACTGCGTTCTGGCTTGTTTAATTAACTGAGTAATATTGTTGTGGAAATTTCCTCTAATAAAACAGACTGACAAGCCCATGTTTTTAATGAAACATTACTCACAAAGCTTATGTCTTATATTTGTAGAGGGTCTGCGAGGAGTTTTTGTCTTTGTCTCTTAAAGTAGAGGAAGGGAGCGTTCATTGACTTGGCCCACAGTTCGGAAAGCCCTTCACCCTAATAAAAAACCATTTCATGATTTTTCCATATAGCATGACCTATGTTTTAAATGTCATTATACAATTTCATGACAATAAGGCTCCAAACAAGTACCTGGCATCATTATATCCAGCAGCAATCATTTTGGTTGGGATGATGATGATGATGATTGTCACTGATTCAACACAGCCTCTGTGATTTTCCTCTGCCTTACCTCCCTTAAAAGTTGTTTGGCTCAGCTGGCAGAGAGTGTGAGAGGCCTAAGGTGACCTCATGAACCTTATATCTGAGTGCGAATCT